GAAATAAGTCCCGAAGCTTTATTTTATACGAATAAAATAGCATTTCCTCAAGTTTTAAGTTAGCAACTACTTCTGTTCACCAGATTAATTTAAAACGATTATCTTTTTTTTAATTTTAAGATTGAATTATTTTTAGTTATTTATTTTAGGCCATTTCAGGAGAAATTTGAGCCGGTTAGCAGCCAAAATATGCTTATATTTGAACCGAAATTTCACAAATTATTTTATTCTATCGTATATATTCTCTCAAATCCTTCATAATTATTTCATTTTTAAAAATAAAAACTTTAAAAAAATTGAATCGGTGACGTCTTTAATTCATAATTTTAAAGTTGCAGCTTTTTGGAAGACATAATTTTTGTAATTTTTTCCACACTCTCTTAGAAAAAGGATCCTGACAGAATAAATCTAATTAGATAACAGAAAATTATACTTAGATTTTTCATTAAGCCACAAAAATGGTACCTTTCTGAAAAAGTCTGAACATCTCATTGGTTTGTGTGTTATTAACAAAATCACAAAAAAGTGACATTTATTTCTCACAATTGTTAATTGAATTTTCAAAGTTTCTCAAAAACACACCTTTCTTAGTTTATATATATTTTAATAGAAATAAATGTCGGAAAAATCTTAAATACTTTATTTGATGCGATAAAAACTTGTTTTTATTTTGTGTTAAGATTCCTCTTTTATACCAAGATAAATCGATTTAAATTGTATTCGTTTTTTNAGCTGTTTTTTTTTTTTTTTTTTTTTTTTTTTTTTAAAAAAAAAAGGGTTTTATTTCGGGAGACGAAACTTCGCGCTCTTGAGCATTTTATTTTTCGTACGAAATCTTATAAACGGATTGAAACTGTGTTCCTGGAAGCTTTACTTTTCGAACAGACTTCGCAAATATTTTTTCAGCAATCTCGTTTGCTTTCGATAAAGACAAATGAAAAACATCAATGAAAAAGTTAACACCCTCAAGAAAAAAAAAATTTTGGTGAAAAAAAAAATTATTTTTTATTTCTTTAGGGTTTTTAGGAAATAAATGAAACTATTTGTAAATTTAGTTCTGATGAAGAAGATGAAAATGTAAAAGCAAACTTTCGACCCTCATTAAAAGATATGCAAGAAGGACTTTTTTTGTGTGAAATTTTATAACTTAAATTATCGTTTGCACAAATGTATCATTACATTTAATATTTGATTTCAAAACATACAAATTCCGATGCGTTATAAATTGCTAATATTTTGCAAAACATGTTATTTTAGTAAGTGCAGAATTTTTCTGTTTTTCATATTAGTTCATTTTTCATATTTTGTACGTTCTCTCAAAACATGGCGAGTAGTCAAAAATCTGGAAATGTACAGTCACGAATTGTGAACTATGGAAAATTTGTAACCTTTCATACTAATGTTACTTTTTGCGTGTTTCACCATATCTCTGAAACTATTGTAAACTTTAATGCACACAATTAGAAAAATTGTTTAAGCAGAGACAATTGTGTTTAAAAATAATTTGTGTTGATGATTTCATTATTATTAACCTTAATAATGATCGAAAAAGTTTTCAATTAAAAGGTATATACATTTCTACTTTGAACTAAGTAACTTTCAAATTTGAACGAAATCACCCGAGTAAATTGTGAGAAATTAAAAGTAAGATAAGCAGCTCTGTTTACAAGAAATAAATTGCCTCCACCTATTAATTTACAAATTTATAATATGAAGGCAAAAATCAATTATTAATGAAAAATACATTTCTTATTAAAGGAATATTGAGCTTTTAAAAAGTGTTATCACTTAAGAAGTCTGGTGTTTTTTATGCATTCATTAACTTTTTATTTTAGTATATGTATAGTTTGTTTTATAATCTATCTATATATAAAATATATTTCACTATTATGTATTGCGCAACATTTATTTTATACTTAAGAAATTTTGGCTTGATGAGCAATTTTTCAATTTTATACTCTAAAAGAAATGCGTATTTAGTTGATATGCATTTATTTGAGCCACAACGGCTCAGGGTATAGAGCGTTCGTTTTCCAATGCGGCNTCTTATTAAAGGAATATTGAGCTTTTAAAAAGTGTTATCACTTAAGAAGTCTGGTATTTTTTATGCATTTATTAACTTTTTATTTTAGTATATGTATAGTTTGTTTTATAATCTATCTATATATAATATATTTCACTATTATGTATTGCGCAACATTTATTTTATACTTAAGAAATTTTGGCTTGATTTTGCGCAATTTTTCAATTTTATACTAAAAAGGAAATGCGTATTTAGTTGATATGTATTTATTTGAGCCACGATGGCTCAGGGGATAGAGCGTTTGCTTTCCAATGAGGCGAACCGGGTTCGAATCCCAGTCGATACGAACTCCGCATCCAGCTTGCACCGAACACAGTGCTGACGCAAAATATCCTCAGTGGTAGACGGATCATGGGTTAGTCCCCTTGCTGTCAGGCTAACCGTGGGTAATTCTCGTGGTCTTCCTCTCCATGTAACACAAATACGGGTTAGTTGCATCAATAAAAGTCCTCCGCGAAGGCAAATTTCTCCCAATACTCGATTTAGGAGTTCCCTTGTCTTCTGGATTGGGTTCAAAATTACAAAGCTACGGAGTTGAACATTAGTAGGCGTAAACCCATAAAATTGGGTCAGCTGTTCAACGACCGTTATGTAGTATAAAAAATAAAATATGTATTTATTTGTGTGTGTTTTAAAGAAAGTTGTATTTGTCACCTCATAATGGTGGGGAAAAAATTGTTGTTCATAATTCTTACAACAAGGCTTACAAGAGTACAAAAATTATAAAATATATTCCAAGCCATATTCACCTTCTTAACTAATTAAAATTTATTATTATAATGCAAAATATATATGAGCATTATTAAACTTACCGCTATTAAAACTTATAATCATTGTTTTTTCAAACTTCGTTTCCAAGCTCATTATTTTTTTTCTTCGATCAATATTTAATTTAAAAAAGCGAAAAATACAACCAATGTACTATTAACTTTTTTAAATTAAATATTCTCAACAGAATTTAAAAAAAAAATTCTAAAAATAATATTATAAAATTAAACGTAAAAATAAAAAAAAAATAAATACTTCCAACTCCCTCATTGACCGGCGAAGTTAACTTTTTCCCTACTTGCAATTTTTTTCTCCCTTTCTCCGCAACTTGTTTTCATCCCGATGCACTTAAATCTACTGATGCGGCTTTTCCGCCATGCCCCTTTATCTCCGCTTTTCTGAGAGGCATCTCTCAAAACTTCTGGAGTTGGTTGTTGTAAGTACCAACTGTAAGAGCCAGAGAGGAGAGAGAGACAGAGATTTATCAGAGCATAAAGTTAAACCGGCCGGGAAATTGCACTTTCTCGTATTACGAGAACTTAGTTTTAACTAACACAATGCACCTGGGCCCGTCCTTCTTCTTTACTTTTCTTCGGTTGTTTTGTCATAAAGAGTTGATTGCGTGTGTCCGGTTGAGAGACGAATTCTGGACCTTTTAACTTAGACCCGGGGAATTGAAGACAGTTTTATAGTTCTTAAAGATTTATAAGTTCTAAGTCGGTCTTGCAAACATTTATTGTTTGCGATGTAACTTAATCATATTTCTTTTAGGTTTTATTTTATATGATGCCTTTGTAGCTAAAACATAAAGAGACTTTTAATTAAAGCTGACAAATTTAATGAGTGATATATTTTAGTTTTTTTTTATTTTTGAAGGATTTCATGTATGTTGAGTGTTTTCCAAACTTTTATCATTATTTTACCCACTAATTGATTTGGGGCATAAGTTGGGACTACTGCAAATATTGACCGATAAGGTACTTTTGAAATTAATTAATAAGGAAGGTACTCCAAGTGTCCCCTGCTAATCGAGCTGTTTTTTAAGAGTATAGAGTTTTTGAGAATAAGAGTTAAGATGTGACAAAATTGTGACTATTTCAGTTTCGTTTTTAAAATATAAATTTAAAAAAAACAACAACATAGAATTAGGCACAAATTTTTTTTTTTAAAAGAACCAAATTTTTTTCTCACAAAATTAAGGATATGAATATTGTTGACTATCGTTATAGCAAAGAACTAAGAAAGGAGAAGCATTTCAGCTCCTCGGATACACAACTAACGCGGAGAACTGTACTTTATGGCATGCTATACCAGAAAAACAACTTACAGGGAGAACAATATACTCACATTTCTTAGAGCATCATATGTACTTAGATTCAGCACATGCGCGTAGGAAGCATACTGACGGTCAGGAAGTACGTCTCCTGAACAGGTTATTAGTTAGGTACGCTGCGTATCGCTTATCGCCATTTTATTCTTTCATTTTATCTCAAAATGAGCTAGCAGATTTAATCATCACAGATGAAAGAAATATCTTAATAAATAGTTCAGTACTGTTTTTAAAAAGTAAGAAAATCAGCGACAGACAAACCATTAATAAAAAGAGAAAACTTTTCTTCTCCTTTCAAATCTCAGTGCAGGTTAAGAGGAAAGGTAGTGTAAAACCATTTCGAGAAGAGCTATTGCTGTTTTACTCCTAAATATTGTTTCTTCCTTTATACGAAAGGATCGTACTGATCCTTGAAGGACTGGTTTATAGTATGTCTATGGAAGCTAGCCTTCTTCCCCTATGCATATTATTATAATGCACCATGTAACCATCAATAGAGAATACATTTTCCCATTGAATTTAAATCTTTTAATTAAATATCTTGAATTTTTTAGTGTTAAGTAAATATTCGAAACACTAAGAAAGTTTTTAAAAAATGCTTTGTATCCTTTTATTTTTACTAACAAATGTTTTCAGCCTTAAATTATTTAGTCTTATTTTATCCTTTTGTAATCCCATCACCAAATCACATGCCGAACATCGATTTCTTATTGCTGGATTCAGTTTTCCCGTATTAAGAGTAAATTTAAGCCGCTTAACTATTTTTGTCCTATTTTATACTGAATGCATTTTTTAAAATTTGAATTGCTTATTTTATAGGAGGTTTTCTTTTGGACCCTCTTCCTACTGAAGACCCTGAACCTTCAACCACTCCTGTTTTTCTAGAAGAGCCTCAAGATTCTTATGTTATTCGCAACAAACCAGCAACTTTATCCTGTAAAGCCAGGCATGCACTTCAGGTAACAGCTTTTAAGTTGTAATTATTTAATAAAATATTTAATTATATGGAAGTGAAAATGAACCAATGCAAAATTTTATATTCCTTTTTTTTATCTCATAAATAATATACCAGCTGACGACTTTAATTTTTTTTGGTTTCATGGGAAATTGATCCTAACAATTTTTATACTTTGTAGTTCTACATTTTTTGATATTTGCTCAAAAATATATCGGCAGAAAAAAATAATTCAGTGGTTCGAATTGTTGATACGTATGTTTGATTAACCCATTTCTTTCTTAGATCATTAATGTGCAGTTTTTCTTTTTAAATATGTTAAGAAAAAGTCAATGAATAATTACCACGGCGAAAAAAAATAGTGGTTCAGTGATTGTTCAAAATAAAATATTTACTTGAGTAGGGTATTTAAGATTTCTTTGTTCAGAGTTACAATCTAACATATGTTCTTGCCATTTCTGAAAGAGTAATTCATAATATTCTTCATAAAGTAATGTGATGATCGGTAGTGTAAAAGTAACAGTAAACAGACAATAAAGTAACAAATTTATCTATCAAAAAATTCAAAAAAAATTTTAAATAGTATTTTTTTGATAAATGAATAATACTTTTCAAAACAATAAATTTATATATTTACAAATAACAATTCTTTTCAAGCCAAATGACCAGTAAAAAACTGATTTTTCTTAAACTTATTCAAATAACTTTGCATCGTAGCATATTAAATTTTATCAGTCTAAGTGTTATCTACAAAATGGTCATAGTTAAAGTTTTTTGACCAACGCATGACATGACATTCGATGACATTTGATTACTTTTGACGTTCTAGAAAGTTCGTTCTAGAAGACGGGTGTTACTGAAATTTGGTATATACGTTATAAGGACCACAGAGAATAATCAGTGTTAAATTACTGATTAAATTTTGACCTCAGGGAGAGGAATAACTGCATATTAAAACAATTTGGATACAAACTTATATGTCGAGTTATATGTCATGTACATTTATTAATAACATGACATATAACTCGAAAAAAATATTAAATATTTTTTTTAATAAGTTTTTTTAAAAATTTTGTTTAAGTTTTTTTATAAAAATTTAAAAAAAAAATTTTTTATAATTTTTTTTTATTTGTTTAAAGAGTCTATAACAGTGATTATTTAAAAAAATATTAAAATTTTTTATTTATTTTGTAGCTGCATATTTTATAACTTAAAAGCAAATAAGAATTATATTTTGAAAATAAGAATTATTTATATGCCAATTAGTGGCATGGATGAAACAAGACTAACATTACATGTTAATGTATGAATAATAAGACGAAATATGTAAATTGCAGGTTTATTTTGAATGTAATGGTCGGCTGGCAGAAAACAGACAGCACAGTTCTCAGCAATATGTGAATCCAATGACTGGTGTGAGGCAAGTGGAAGTGTCAGTGGATGTAACACGTGGGGATGTAGAAAAGATCCTCGCTGGAGATACTTATAGTTGCTTCTGTTATGCTTGGTCTTCCACAGGAAGGATTAAAAGCAGGAAAGCTGTCATCACTCTTGCTTGTGAGTAAACCTCTCTTAAAATACAGTTAATTTCAAGCTTTCATTTTTTTTATAAAGAAATGTTTTTAAGCCAAGAAAGCCTGGTGGGTAAGGTGCTAGACTAGTAAATGGGGAATGGTGCACGTTAAATCTGTCAGGTCACAAAGTCTTCCATGTACCCATAACAAATTATACCTCTAGGGATACTAGAATGGAAATTGATTGCTCTCTGGTTCAGGTTAAAATTACGATCTGTGGATGAATTAATGGCTATATGAATGGGTTCACTCTATAGATGGATGTGGTAAAAAATCGAATTCTTGACTATAGATGGCGCCACTGGAAAACAAGAACAATTGCACTCCCAGTGCCTTAATGGCCTACTACAACAGCAACATAAGGAATTTTTGTAAAACAAAACTTTTTTTTAGACAGTGGAACAGTAAATAATTGAGAAGTTGGAGTCATGTAGCCTAAAAAATAAAATAACATAAAATAAAATGAATTTAAAAATACACTCATTTTTGTACTGAAACAGTTTCAAAACCAATAGCGTGGATGAGTTAATTGCACAACTTGCAAAATTCCTTCTTCTGCAGTGAGTTGATGGCCATGTGTGGGCCCTGGCCTTCTTCAGAAGTTTTCTCCAGGCATCTCTATTATTGGCGACTACTGCTTTCGGAAATTTTTCGAAGTTGAAGCTAGTAGCAACTCATATTCTTTTTAACACTCGTTTTTCAAAAGTTTTATTAACAAAGTTTTGTTTTGGTTATTTAACTTCTTTTCTATGTCAAATATTCAGTTGTGTCCATAGAATGAGTATTACTTTATGTTTAAGATGTATAACGTTTTAAAAAAATACGAGAAGTTGGAGATAAGTCAGCTTTGGGAGCATCAAGCAATTAATTTTTATCTTAAAATTCTTTGATCAGTGTTTTTAACATTCGCATTTAATCTTTGGCTTTAATATCTGTTTCTTTCGACCCATTAAAACTTTTGGAAATACTTCTTTAAAATGAGTTTGCTACTCTATTATCAATTTTCTCTATGTTGTAGCGAAAAGTTTTCAGTTTTTTTTATTTTTTTATTGGCCATCATTTGTTTCTCAATTCTAAATTATTAAAATATTAAAACATTACTTCTACTACCACTTCGAAAATTATTTTCTGTAACTACAGAAATTTTGTAATAGTTAGAGGGTATTCTCGAAGAGAGCTTTAATGTATAATTTGGTTGTAGTGCTTCCAAAAAGAAAAAAATTGCTTTATATTTATGATTTACCTTACTTTCATTTCAACAAAAATTTGCCTTGAATAAAGTTTAAATATGCACTCATTTTCACAAACCGCACATCTTATTTTATCGCGTTTTACATTTAACACTTCTAAGATTTTTCTTTTACTTTATTCCTGTAACGTTACTGTATACAAAAAAGCTTTTGAACCAACATCCTAGGTATTTACCACTATCCCACAAAGACCTTAATGTGATGAAAAGTATTTTCGATTCTACCAATGCGAAGATAGGAGTAAGCTTTAAAAGTGAAATTCTTAAAGTTTCCCTGAAGAAAAAAAATTCTGTTGACGCATTTCGCATTTTCCTCAGCTTTTTGTTCGATAAACACTTTTCCTTTCAAACTCCTGTGTTTTTTCCTCTTCGTCAGCAATTCTCCCATTTTGCTTCGAAATCTGCGGGATTTTCTCCACTCTTCTTCTTTTTTTTTTAATTTTGTCAGATAAGGGAGTTTATTTTAAGAAGTCGCGATGAAGAATGGTTGGGTAACATTGGAATTAGTGGGTTATTAAGGAAATAAACCCCTTTCGCCATTTTCAGGAGAACCTTAGATAAATACTCTTTGGATTGGTATTTTTAACTTTTGATTGGGGAAGACGAGATGAGGCATTGGGGTCTTCCTCCGCTAATAGCCCTTCCTTAAGCTTTCGTGTCTTTGGGTTGATATTTGAGCTGTTTTCTGAGTTCTTCGACAAAGTTTTGCTAGGAAATTAATCTGAGTACTTGAACCATTATTTAGCCCGGAGGTTTTTCAAATGGCGTCATTACTGCGTTTTGCAACGGGATCCACTTTTCATTATGAAGCTATTTTTGGAATCGTAGGAGATATCTGGAATAAGTTTTGTAAATTCAAGGCTTAAATGTGGAAAAAGAAATAAAAACATTGAATGCTTTAAAGTAATGCTAGAATAAATGTTTCTTCTCGTCATAACTTTTTTTCTTCTTTTTTTTGGAAACAGGGATTTGCGGCGGAAAGTATATTTTTTAGACGCTTTTAGAAATTTATAACTTTCTTTTTTATGGCACCTGTATAAATTTAAGTGCACGACATATTTGTATAAAGGTAATCAAACATTTTGCTTGAAAAATAATTGAGTAACTAAATTGAGCAATACAGTAATTCAAATTACACTTCTTGCTCACAAATGATGTTCAAAATAATGTAAGGGACCAACATTGGTTTTGTAGAGTGTAGCGAGATTACATATAAAAATAAATAAAAATTATGAATGAACTGCATATTTATTAAAATTAGAAGCGTTACGTAAATTACAGAATAAAGTTTCAGCAATTCAAATCTGGTGAAATTTTAATTATTACTTTAAAGTATCATACGTATAAAATATATAAAAGAAAAAAAAAAGAGGCTAACAAAGTGATATAGTATTTACCACTTTTAAGATTGTCTTTAGTGTTTTAAACACATATTCCTTATTTTTAAATGTATTTTTAATAAAATTTTTTTAATAATAATAATAATAATAATTATAATAATAATAATTACAATAATAATAAAAATTATGATAATAATATTTTTAATAATAATTTTTTAATAACAATAATAATTGTAATAATAGTATTTTTAATAATAATAATTATAATAATAATATTAATTATATAATAATAATAATAATAATTTAATTATTTTTTGTCTGCCTTTTATCAACACAGGCGTTGCTTTATTTCCCCAAATTCAATCAAATAAAAAGTTTGGAAAAAAAAAAGAATTCAATAAATATTAGCCAAATAGAATCCAACATATGGAACCAATGGTCCATATGTTGTACCATGGATCAATATTTCGTACTGAAAATTTTTTTCTGAAGTGCATGTCAGAATTTCTTCACTAAAAAAATTATATTAATTGTAAACGTATAATTGTCCCACAATTTTTTAAAATTTTTTGGCACCTTACTGCATATAACTACACAATCGGAACTCAATGATCTTCTATCCGCATGATTACTAATTTACTTCATTTGTACTCCACAACTTCATCGAAACACAACAAAGTTCAAGCGAAGGATGAATGGGAAAAGGACTGCAGGCGGCCTCAGGTGCCCAGATGTTTTATACAGTTCAGTTCAGTTCAAATTACTTGAAAAAATACTTTCGACATAAATTGGGCCAAGGAACGAACGCTTTCTAACCCATAAAATTGGTATATTATTCACCTTATTTTGTCCACCTGATGTAATTTGTTGCAAGTTTAAACAACGATTTGGTTCAATGTTCTGATATTAAAGTTTACTATTTTATATTTTATAACCGTCGTTGAACAGCCGACCTAATTTTATGAGTTTACGACTACTAGTGTTCAACTCCGTAGCCTTGTAATTTTGAACCCAGTCCAGAAGACAAGCGAACTCCTGGATCGAGTATAAGGAGAAATTTGCCTTCGTGGAGGACTTTTTAATGGAGCTAACCCGCATTTGCGTTACATGGAGAGGAACACCACGAGAACCTCCCACGATTAGCCGGACGGCAAGGGGACTCTAACCCGTGGTCCGTGTACCACTAAAGATATTTCACGTTATCATTGTGGTCGGTGCAAGTCGGATGCGGAATTCGTATCGACTGGGATTCGAACCCGGTTCGCCTCCTTAAAAGGCGAACCTGAGCCATCGCGGCTCTAAAGTTTACTAAGCAGTTGATTTTCAAGCCGAGTAAATATCGTCAATATGTCATATTCTTGTTACAGTAGTTAGATATTTTAATCTGGCATCATTAGAAATCTGTCAGCAGCTCTCACAGAAGCTCATTATTTACGTTTGTGAAGTATTTGTTGACGGGAATTGTGATACGATGAAGAGGTGGAAGTGAAAACTAATCACAAGTTTCTTTTTTTTCCTCTACAATAATGAGTTTCTTTGAAGCAGCATTCATCATAAAAATTTTACACCCGTGACAGTTTCAGATAAAAATCACTTCTCTCTTCCCGATAATATCTGACCTTTGAATAGGTTATAGACTCTTAATCAAGTGAAGCTTACTTTTTTTCATGAAAAGAAGACCCAGTTAAAAGAAATTAATTTTATAAGTCATTGACTTAAGAAAGAAAACAAAATATTGTTAATTTTCAGTTTTGATTTAGTTTTTAATATAAATGAAATTAATCATTAATAAGGATGTTATGCCATGTTAAACTGTGCACATTACTCAGATATGGCCAGGTACGGCTAAACGTTAAAAGATAGATCAGGACTTCTCAATGGCCATGGATCAGGTCTTTCAAATGGCCATGGTAGGAATGCTACGTAATCTCTGTCAGATGAGACGTGGTCATCGCCTGAGTTGGCATTCCTTGATCAAAACTTTCACATTACATACAACAGTCGGACCTACAGCAACGTAAGATTTAACGTACTAAGTGCTGCGTATATACGCCTGTAGTTCAATCTCCTGCCAAGATTGAACTCACGACCACAGAGTGATCGACGTGTTTGGCGCATGTTGTGACACGTTAAGGTGCGAATATTTCTATGAAATCGAATATATACTGATTGAAAATAAGAAGAAAAAGGTGTGATATTACAAATGAACCAAACTTGAGCCGTATGGGTTTAAGGGATAGAGCATTCGCCTTCCAATGAGTTGAACCGAGTTGTTCGAATCCCAGCTATTACTGGTCGATACGAATTCCGCACCCGGCTCGCACCGACCACAGTGCTGTCGTAAAATATTTCTCAGTGGTAGACGAATCATAGGTTAGAGTCCCCTTGCCATTA